GGAGGGGTGGACTGGCTTCTAACAGAGCTGGTACAGATGAAGGGATAGAGTGGGGGGATCTAATTTCCTGCTTTGGGAGGGGAAGTGTGAGAAGGTGGTGAGAATAGCTATGGGAGAAAAGGGGGACAGTTTCAGGACAAAAGGCCAGGCTAGTGAGTGTGTTAAGGGCTTTTCACCCCCAAACGCAGAGACAGAGCTGAGGGAAGCTCTGACTGGTATTTATATAAGTCCTCTGATGACAGATCAGGTTCCTGAGGTCTGGAAAGTGTTACATACCATTATTCTAAACTGGGCTATGAGATACAGCAAGCAATTATAGGCCATTTAACTTAACATCATTTACAGAAAAATATTAGGAAAAGTTTGCGGGGTGGGGGGAGGTTGGGGGGTGGGGAGGACAAGCATATGGTAATTTGATTAGAAACAGGCCACATGTTTATACTGGAGGAAGGTGTTGTTTTAACTAGCTTGTCGACTTCTTTGAAGTTATTGCTTTCTTAGTTCTAGGTTTTAACCCATGATTTTTATCCTGATATCTATAAAGATTAGGAATAAATATCAGATATCTAAGTAAATAAAAACCAATCACAACTGAGGAGACTAAAACTACAATGGGAAGAAAAATGAACATTAAATGGTGTAGCAAGGAAAAAAAATTTAGTAAATAGCTAGTAGAGGTAAATAAAGCCAAGATATTTTCATGAAAAATACTTGATTTGGGTCTGTGAATGTGTCCCCTTATGCCACTTCCTATGATGCTCTGCAGGAAAAAAAAACGGACTTTTTGTTTATTTGACTGAACAATTATCTTTGTTTTTTTTGTTTGTTTGTTTTGCCTTTTTAGAGGATTGAACATTTGATGTGGTTAAACTTTTGGCACATTAGGATGAATACTTCATTAATTCTTCCTTTGTAAATTTTTTAAGTTAAAAATTCTCAAGAAGACACATTTGTAGTTATTTTAGATACATTAATAGGTCAATAGCAATTTTCTCAGATTTACACAGTATTTCGGTACTACTGAATAGCTACTGAACTTTCAGAAAGAGGATCAGAAATGCTTTTAAAAAACAAACATTTTAAAAAGTGCATGAGACCTGATGTGTCCTCACTACCTTTTTTTTCCAAATTTTTTTCAAATGTTGGCTAGAAGCTTCAAGTATGTTTTGTTATCTACTTTTGGCTGGTTAGTCTACGTAATTCACTAATAACGCCAATCTATTTCTCCAAAGATTCTGGACCCCAGGAACTGCTATCATTTCTGCACCTGCAATCTCCACGAGGGTGGGGACTGTATCTGTTTTGTTCATCATTGTACTCCTAGCGTCTAGCACAGGGTTTGATAAATATTCAGTGAATGAATAAATGATTAAGAATAACAATAACACTGGATATTTACTTTGTGCCAGACACTGTACTGATAGGTACTCTGCATAACTGACTCTGCTAATTCTCCAATAATTCTTTGAAAAAATTACTATTACTAATCTCATTTTTAAAGATGAGGGAACGGAGGCACTGAGAAGTTAAGGAACTTGCCTAAGGTCACACAGCTAGTCATCGACAGGTTTCAAGATCAGGCAGTCTGGCTAACAGGCTCACATTTGAGCATAATACCACTTCCTCTCCAAGAATGAACATATAATGCAATAAATCTGTGCATCAATGTATGCATGTACAGAAAACTATACACAAGACAGGGGTCTTAAGTGGCACAGAACTCAAATACTAATGTTATTATCAACAAATACCAGAATTCAGGAGTGATGGAAAATTTGAAGTCTAATTTCTACGATCAAGCTCTCTGTGGTAACAAACCTCTGTAGGCAGAGTACCAAAAAATACTGCTCGATTGAGCTCTAATTGGCTGCTGGAGCATTCAAAACTTCACATTGGTACAAAAGTGATATTTAAGGTTTTGAGGCACTAAATCAATGAGGAAAAGAAATTACCAGCACATGTGCTACTATGCCCTATATGGAATCACTGGTGGCCTCTTTGGGGCTAGTACCTGCCTTTGCTGAAAGGGCCATTCTTTAGATCATCCTGAGTGTTATTCAAAACACAATATAAAGCTCTATTTTCCTCTAGTCTTGCTGTAGGATATTAGTGTTCTGAGAACTGATGTGTCCTCACCACCATTTTTTTTTTCAAATTTTCTTTATGGTATTTTTTTTTTCTTCTATCAGTCATTCTGAAATGAGTGTTCCTCTGCAGAAGATCCTAGGGGATAGATGACCTAAGCTAATCAGTGAAAGTACTTTTATAGGCCATAGGAAGGATAAGAAGCCTCCATAGGAAGGATAAGAAGCCTTTGGCATGTGCAGGATGGACTGAGAACCTGAGAAGGGGAAGATACAGTTTAGGTGTGAGAGAATTCCACATCTACCCCAAGTTGAGTGTGGATAAGCCTCGGAGAAGCTTGGTGCTTTTTCAGGACTCACACAAAATGACTGTAGACTGTTGGCTGTTGGGGCCTCACACCTAAGTAAAAGCTTATTTACAATGTAGTCTCCAGTTCTGGTTACCTTTCAACTGGAAGAATATTCTCACCCCTGAGGCAACTCAACAGGAGGCTGTCAAGTTGATCCAAGTTTTAGGAAAACTTGTTGTTCTGAGGAATGAGGTTAAAAGTTTAGTCTCACCATACAAGAAAAGCTTACCCAGTGGAGTATTAAGTTGAAGTGGAGTGAATGAAATTAATGCAGCCTAGAGGCTTAGAAAGATGAAATGTAGTTCAAGGTTCAAAATTGGACAGTAAAGGGAAGCTCAGGACAGAGCTAGCTCAGTGGAAAAATAAAGCAAGCATATGAAATCAGACACCACTCTTATACTCAAAGAATGCTAGTGTCAACAGAGCTGCAGAACAGGTACCATGATAGCATTTGAATGAACAAAAGAAATGGGAGGGATGCGGTGTCGGTCACGGCAGGAAAGGGGGTCGATGCGGATTCAAGAACAGTCTTGTTAGTACGAGGGTCCTTTTCCTGTTCAGTGAATTCTTTTGTTCTGTGTCCTTATCAATCCCACACCTTGCTTAAGTAAGAATGACAGACAAGCCATTCTTAATGACTTCCTAGCTTTTGAAACTATTTTGGTGTCAGAGAGGGAAAGAACCACATTTAAGTTGTAAAAATTGAGGTTTCTGTATGGCTTAGTAAATTTCCTTCTCTGAGATGACCATTTTTGTTTGTGGAGACAGAAATGCATTTGCCCAAATATGTGATCTGTGCAATGTTTCAGACAATTGACACCTCTGTCGCACCTCACCGGGCCAGAGAGACAAATGGCAGCACAACTCAGGGCTCCAGCCGGCAGTCCTTGCTATGTCAGCACAGCGTGGCTGGCATCTTCCTCCCTGAGGGCCAGTACACATCCTCTCCTAGGCACACCCACTCTCCATTAGCACCGGGAACAATTGTTCACTGTGTCAGAGCCCCGGCCACGCCCTTCGTCCAGACAATGCACAACTCCACAGCCCTACCTCTCCCAAGCACTGGTTACTTCCTTTCCTTTCTGTTTCCTCTTGTGTGTAGACTGGATGAAATACAGTTTTTTCCTTCTGTCTGAAACAGGACATTTTAAAAAGTGGCAAACGATGACTGATTCACTTTCAGTCTCTCCTCACTTGGGTTTTCCTAATCTCTCCAAGGTTGTACAACAGATAGGAATTTGGTTCAGAACATAGGGAAAACAGGCTAAAAAAAATTCAATTTTCACAGTGAATGTTCACTAGGCAACTATCACATACGAATGTTTCTCTCTAAAGATGACGCTTTCTATTATCTTTAGGTAGATTTCATATGTTGAGTTTTGTTTCCATGGTGAGGGTAGACCACATTAAAGTAATAACAGCCAAGCTAGGCAGCTTTATAAATTTAGGAAAGGAGGATGTTATGTTCTAACAACCATTTTTTAACACAGGAATGTCTATTTAGAAATTTACCCATCCATCTAGCAATCAGTCAGTATGGATTAAGTACCTATCTTGTTATAGCCTAGTTTTTTGTTTTGCTTTGTTTTGTTTTTCAGGATGGAGTTTTGCTCTTGTTGCCCAGGCTGGAGTACAATGGCACGATCTTGGCTCACTGCAACCTCTGTCTTCTGGGTTCAGCAATTCTCATGCCTCAGTCTCCCAAGTAGCTGGGATTACAGGCATGCGCCACCATGCCTGGCTCATTTTGTATTTTTAGTAGAGATGGAGTTTCTCCATGTTGGTTTCAAACTCCTGACTTCAGGTGATCTGCCCACCTTTGCCTCCCAAAGTGCTGGGATTATAGGCATGAACCACTGCGCCTAGCCTTAAGATATCTTTTTAAAGTCCCTACCCTCAAAGAGTTCACAATTTGGTAAAGAGAGAAAGACATGTAAACAAATGATTATAGTGAGTTATAGTAGGTACTATAATAGAATTATAACATAATTCTATTATATAATTCAGATACAAAGAAAGGAGTGGGAGGGAATTTCAGCGATAGTGGTATATTGGCCAGAAAAGGCTTCATGGACAGGGTGATACGTAAGTCTGAAAAATGCAGGGGAGACAATTTATGGTGTAGTGTGCAAGAGTGTACTCGTGTATGAGTACAGGACACAGACAGAGCTGGAGAGGCAAGCAGCCCCTCCAGGTCCCAGATATCCTGAAGGTCTGGGAAGGTATTCTGAAGTCAGGCATCCTGTAGGTTATCAGAACCAGCCATTAGAATAGGAGACCAATATGATGAGATCTGCTTGTGATGTGAAATTCTATTTTTGAAATCAATGATTTCTTTGGGTGGGTTTAACTCTTATTTTCCTTCATGGAGCAATGAAGTTTGTGGTGAGAATGATAATCTCAAATTTAATCCACTGTGTTCTGACTTAGGAAATGCGTGCTGAAGGATGCCAGGGAGCTGAACTGACAGCTCCAAAGGCTGGCAGCAGGCATTTCGTGAGCACATTTTCCCAGCCAGCCAGCCAGCCAAATGTGGCCACCCACTGGGTGGCCAGAGAGTCCTTACCACTTCAGTTGGCCGGTAGTACTTGAGATCCACAGTCACGTGAACTTTGCCGGTCTCTTTACATCTGCCCACTTCATTTTCATTCTTTCCTTCCCACCTGTAAAGAAGATAAACACTGAATCAGCTCCTAATTGCTTGGGAGCATTTGGCCGTGCTGTGGCACATTAGGATGCCCCAGCCCTTTCCCCGCAGGAGCGCGTAAGCTCATTAACTACAGCAGCACAGGCTGATGCTCAACCTGGACTTTCAAAGCCTTCCTAGATCTGTTTTCAAAGGGCGCAGTTTTTTCCCTTTTCTTTTTAAAAAAATCATGATGAATTCAGAAGCGAGACTTTAGAAATAAACAGATTAGCCAGAAAATAAAATTGGGCAGCTTTTAGGGATTTCAAAGATTTTTGTATTTCTCTAGACCATTCTTGATCAAGTCAATTATTATAAATTTATTAATGTCTTTTGTCCTCTCCCTTTATTTTTTTCTCTCTTTTATAATTTTGGGGATATTCAGTGTTAATGCACTCCATTTAGGAATAAGTTTTATACCCTAATTAAGCATTCGATGCATCCCTGGATCACATACAAGTTCTCTTGCTCTCCCCAGTCAATGGTGGGCCTCCTTAATAAGTCTCAGATGATTAAACCTCCAAAAAGTACACAACTAATTGTTCGTTTCCTGCTGAGAGAGGGTGTATCAATATTACTTTCCTATAACCTCCTCTGACCTAGCTAGGATACTGTTTGCACAGAAGTTTCCTTCCCCGAACATCCACAGCTGACAGAAGTAAGGATCCCAGGAGCGACTCCTTGAGTCCACACTGTGCAGGATGAGCTCATATGCGTCAAGATTAGCTTCTCGCTAAAATTCTACTTATCCATTTTATGTTCTCATTTTTTATAAATCAAGCCACTCACTTAATGGTAACCTCTGGATTTCTGTAATATTATATAATTTGAGTTATTATTTTTACATATGAAATTTTTTGCAAAAAAAGAAAAGTAATGAACAAGTATGGACATGTTTGACTTTACCGTTTATCCTTAGAACCAGTTTGCATTATGAGCTGCAGATGAATACTGTGAACACAGAATTCTGTATGCTCTCTGGGTCAGAGTCCAATGGGGAAGACAAAATTAGTTACCTGACTATGTCAGCCACAGGCACCACTGAAAATGAACATTAAAGGTTGATCACAGTTGTATTTTGGAATAGGTTGAGAATTAAAGACATAAACTGGCCTCAGAAGCCTCATTTTTGATGAATCACCTGAATGTTCTGGCAAATCACTTCTTGGTAGCAAAGGGGAAATATTTCACTGTTGGAGGAATAATCTGTTAAGTATGCCTTTGGAGTCAAGGCAAATGTGAAAATTGTCCTACAACACAGGGAATTATATAGCACAATATGTTAAATAATATACAACAACTGTACAACTGGTCATTCCCCCAGGACTTGCATATTAATTAATTAATTCAAAAAGGATATTTGGTAATTTATTTCAATTTATTTCTTAATGTTGATTAGATCAATTTGATGGGTCTTGATGTTGATTAGATCAATTTTCAATTTCAAAGCAAGGGAATTGGTAGGTAAGCAGAGTTAAGTTTGTGGAAAATTCACCGGGAAATGGAAAGTGGATGTTTTGGAGCATGGAGATTGAAAGTGTTTAAAACATAACCTAAAGTTATGATGACCCTCATACATCTCCTGTGGATAAAGATCAAATCTTAGCTAACATCCACAGGAAGGGAGGACCTAAGTCATGATTTTTTTTTTAAATTTACAGTCTAATTCTAAAGTTAATTGCTTAAGTAGAACCTTTTTAAAAAAAATTTTGGTTAGGCTTTCAGCAGATAAAAGTATATTTGTATTTCACAGGCACGTTTTAACTATTTTTGTTCACATTTCATACTTTGCAAAGAGAAACAGGTTCAGCAGATACTTGTGTGATATATCTCCAACGAAGTCAAAGAGTTAACAGAAATACCATTTTCAATTTTGCTGACCGATTTTTCACTGTGGCTGGGTATTCGGTCTGTGATGGGCCATGGTGACTTACAGGCACACAGACATTCCACTGTCCTTCTGCTGGTAAATCTCCTCAAATGTCACAAACATGAGAACTGATGATTCGAGCCAATTTATAATTCAATTAAAAAAAATCACACAAAAACACACGCATATTTAAATCGACAAAGCCTTGGTAAAGACTTGGACAGCTTTTCCTGATTTGGGAGGCAGCATGTGAGTCAGGACAGTACTGAGGCCATGTCTGAGGGGTCTTTAGACTTTAGTGGGGTCTATAAACTGTTTCTGTGAAGGCCCAGATAGTAAATACTTAAAGCTTTACAGATCTCATTAGTCTCTGTTACATGTTTTTCCTTTCTCCTCCTACTTTTTCTGTTTCTTCTTCCTCATATTTTTCTTCCTCATTATTTTCTTCTTTAAAACCTGTTCTTACCTCCAGGAGAGTTAAAAAAAAAAAAAAAAAAAAAGGCCCTCAGCTGGGATTTGATCTGCAGGCCACACTTGCCCACTCCTGCTTTGGCCGGTCAGGTTAATGGTATCGCCTCACCCTCAGCTGAGGGAAGCATTTAATTCCTGTTTATAGCAGTGGGCTGCACGGCTAGACTGCTTGAATTTTAGTGTCTACTACTGATTCTCTTTGATTGCTTTGCTGGTCATAGACTAACATTTGGGATTTGTAACACTAGCTGAAAATGGGAAAAGGCTGAAGGAGAAACATTCGCTCTCTAAGGGGTTTATTAAATACAGCCTGAAAGTCAGACTTGGGTCTGGTGCTACTTTGGCGCTCACAGGCACCAGCTCCCTTGCACGACTTTCTTGCTGCGGTCTGAACACTGTCTGCTGAACTTCCATCTTGCAAATGCTGTCTACAGTCAAAACAGTCTCTAAGGGCATGGCATTGCCCTCTACAATTAATATCGTTACATTGAAGAAGCAAATGTAATCAGGAAATGGCTCAAAGCTGAATTGAGCTGGCAAAACTACTTTCTAATTTGCACCAGGTCTGAATGAGGGCAGTAAGCAAAAGTTTCGGCCAAGTGCCAAAAAACATTCAGTTACAACAATACATGAAACACTTGTATTAACAAGTAAAAGGTAACAGCTAACATGTCCTAACAAGCAATATTATGACTCAAAGCAGAGCTGCAATGTTAATGAAATGACAGTGGCTTGACAGAGAGGAGAGGATTCGGTTAATTAACAAGAATTACTATCCACTAATTTAGAGCAACAGCTCACCAAGCAGGGATCCTGTATAATTAAAATTTTAAAATAAATTGTTGCTCCTAATAAGCATTAAATAGCAATAGAAAGCACTGAAGAATTACAGAATTAAGGACAATAAGGAAAGATAAAGTGCTATTAGAATCTACTCAGCTAGGCGTTCCTTTGAAGGAACAACAAAAGCAAAGTCAACCACATGAGTCAAGTTTTGGGGGCTACTAGACCTAAGTGGGAGGCGTGCAACACACTCCTTGTGGGGACCCAAACATCATAAAAGCTCTCAGGAATTATTCTGAAGAAAGGCTATTTCATTAGGATATTTAATTAGAGTAGGAAGCTGCAGGAGCTCAAATTCAGTCAATGCCATAAGGCAGGCCTGGAGGAAGCATTAGCTTCTGGATAAAGATGGTGGTTTTCACACACTTTTGCTCCTTCCCCAGACCCCTTTCAAAAAAGGAATAAACTCACATGAGCTAAGAGGGCAGGAAAGAGATGTGAGAAATCAATTCTGGAAGCTGGAAAGCAGATGGATGAGTGTTAAAGGACTTAGCAGAAGCCCTAGAAAAGTCTCCCAAAGCAACCGTGGGAGAGCTGAGAATGGCCCCAATTTACACTTGCAGAAGCCCCCAAATGCTCAGGAAGTGAGGCCTGATTGCAAGCCTCTATGGGCAGCAGTGTGGGGCCCATCCCAGTTCCGCACTGCTTGGCCACTCACTGCCTCACCCTCCCTGGGGCAGAAGGTGGCTGGACTGAATGCTCAGTGGAGTGGGTCCCCATGCTGAAGACGGGGGAAATTAGGCAAATGTATGCATGCTAAATGCTGAGGCCCACCACCCAGCCCTCTGTGGGCTGGCAGTCAGGCCTATTTCCTCCAGTGAGGACACTGGGGAGGCTCCTCTGGGCATCAGAGATCCTCCAACTAAAAGGTTCTATCAAGTCCTCTTATAATAAAATAGCCAATGAGCTCCAACTATGCTCTGAAAACTCACAAGTAGTTTTTAGGCCCCCTACTTTTAAAGAAGCAGAAAACCAAGTATTACCAGACAGGAAATATATAAGGAAAAATCACATATATGAAAAATAGAAATTAAAACAAACTGGAAAAAAAGCAACTTGGAGGAAATAGAACAAGCAGAGGGAAGAGAATTAAGAACGAAATAAAACAAGAAAATCCCCATATATACCATCTTTAATATCCTCAGACAGAGAGATCAGGAAAGATATCACACAAACAAGAACAGGATACTACATAAAAAGAAACTATTTGAAACACAGGATTTTAGAACTTGAAAATGAAAAATAGAAATTCATAATTCAAGAGAAGATTTCGAAGATACAGTTGAGGAAATCTCCCAGCAAGTAGAGCAAAAAGAGGCAGATATGAAAAGCCAGAAGAAGGAAGATAAAAGCATTAGAATACTTCAGGGCAGTCATTATAATAGGATTTCCAGAAAGAGAGTACAGAAAAGATGGAGAGGGTGTCCCCAAATAATGGATGGGTCTAGACCCACCTCATATCAAGTTTCACACCACTGGGACCAAGAGGTCTGAACCACTTTCCAGAGGGGACAGACGGGACTGGGAGTCAGAATGGCTCTTGGTTTCCCATGGTGAGACTGAAAATTAACAGGCAATGGAGTAGCTCCTTCAAAGTTCTGAAGGAAAATGATTTCTAATCTAGAAATATATACCAGCAACGTTATCGATTTTGAGAATGGACTAAAGATATTTTCAGATATATTTGGTCACAAAATATTTGTTTCCCATGTATCCTTCTCAGGAAACTAATTATAATTTCGCTTTTCCAAACCAGGTAGTGTTGAAGGTGCCAGGAAATAGGGGCTCGGTGC